TAGTACGCTGTGGATCAAACCTGCCGTGAAAACTTTTACTGATGTGGGAAAATGGTCATGAAAACACCGTTACATGGAAAAGCAAGTTATCAATCCATTCATACCACATTTTTTCCCCAATCTGTTAAAATATGTTCATATATGTCTGAAAAAAGGGAGAGAGATAGAAACATCTACAATGAGAGAATCATTGATTGGCTGCCACTTGCATGCCCCACACTGGAGATCGAGCCCAAAACCCGGGCATGTGCCCTGACTGGGAATCAAACCATGACCTCCTGGTTCATAGGCCGACACTCAACCACTGAGCCACGCCGGCCGGGCAAATAATTTTGAAATGAAGTAACAAGTCAAAGGTCCAAGTTCATGCTCTGCCCCTTGGAACCTGGGTGAGACAGCCCCCTCACCGTCAGTTCCCCCACCTATAACAGAGGGCATAGCTCCTTTTCTGTTCACCTCACGGGATTAGTATTGGGTCCAAAGAACCCCACATTGCATGGAAAGTAAGGTAGGGCCGTTCTCTCAGAAATACAGTCAAAACTCTTTTAGACGTAGGGGATCTTTTACTAGAAAGCTGGGGGCAGGCTGGTTCTGATAGATACATCCTTGCCAGGAGCAAACTGCTGGAGACGAGCTGTGAGTCACTCTGTGAGTCACTGAGGCAATGGCAGAGGAGCCAGGAAACATCATCAGACAGGAGCCCACTAAGGTCTGCGGCGGGAATGCACGTTCAGCCTTTTCCCAAACACAGCGTGGGCTTTGCAGCTAAATATTTTGACTGCTCTGCCATCTGGCAGTATCAGTTTGCAGCCAGCCTGGTTCTGAATCTCTCTTCAATGAGAGATTCCTGGCCATCTCAACACAGAAAAGGGGGAGAACCGGTTTTCTATTTAGCCAACATTCAGCTTTAGGGTCACAGCTAGGCAAACTGCTCCAGTTGCCAGCACTTGACATCAGCACCCCAAATTTCCCTTTTTTATTGTCCCATCTTTCCTTGACCTACATGCTCTCTTCCTCCTCACTTTGAAAATACTTCCTGGTAGTCATTTACACACTAGTAAGAATTTGAATCCCTCAGTCTCCTCTCGCAGTAGCATTGTAAGCTCATTTCTTTTGGTACAATGAAAAAGGCTCTATCCAGTGCTAGGAAAACTGAAGATAACAGTGAATCGGATGGAAGGAGGTAAGGAAGGTCAGGTGACTTTAAAGGAAATACTGTTCACATCCCCCCAGGGCAGGGTCACCTACTCGCCCATCCGAAAGTCTGGTCTTAAAGTAATGTTAATGGTACCTGCTTTGGGGGAACCAATACTGAACTGGATCTTCATGGAAATGAGTGGTTGTAGTGCAGAAGGTGTGCCTCAAAGTTCCACAGGGCAGAATAAAAGGCACACTCTCAACACGGGCCCGGAGCCTCAAGTGATCTAGCCACTACCCACCTCTGTGGGGCCATATCTATGCCATCCCCCTCCCTCTCGTCCAGCCACTCGGGGCTTTTCCTGAACAAGCCAAGCTCGTTTCTGCCTGGGAAGCTTTGCACTTCCTGCTTCCTCTCCTGGAACACTCTGCGTCTCGTTCCCAGGAGGAGGGGGAGTCCCACAGGAGCCACAAGATCAGATCAGAACACCCAGTTCTATTTGCATTTCAGTCAGGTGATTGTTTTTAGTACATATATGTCCCAACTATTGCATGGGACACACTTATACTGAAAACGTACTCGTTGTTTATCTGAAACTCAAATTTACCTCGGTCCCATATTTTTATTTGCTAAGTCTGTTAGCCCTGCCTGGGAAGTCTTTCCTAATCACCTCGTCCAGACACTCTCCCCACCCCAACGGACTTTCGCTTTCATCACTCTACTCTCTTATCTCCTTACCCTGTTTCATTTTTTTTTTTCCAGAAAACTAACAGGCACATGAAGTTATATATTTCTTTGTTAGCCTCACTCACTAGTCAAATAGAAAGTTCCATGGTTCTATGCACAGAGAAACGTTAGATATTTTGTTTCTGGCTATCTCTCTGGTACTAGTAATATAATTAAAATTTCATTTGGATGGATGGATGGATGGATGGATAATGGATGGATGGATGGTGGCTGGATGGCTGGAAGTATAACTGTGTTTTGCATACATACTTCCTTTTCTTGAATCTTTTACTTGAGGGAAAAGGCAGATAACTTCCAACATGAGTTTTCAGTTCAGGGTTTTCTGCTTGCTGCCTCCTTAACTCCCAGTGCTTCCCTCATCCGCCACTAGGCCCCTTTCTATGACTCTGCCTCTTTCTGAAATGCCAGGCCTGCTTTCCCTGGACTTTCCTGCCCACCCCTGGCATCCTTGCCCCCCAGAGCGGGCCCCACCCCTCTCACCTAACTTCGCTGGCATCTGAACATGCACAGAGACCCATTACTTTTCCTTTAAGTCTTCAAGATGTGAAGGCTCCCAGGAAGAGAAGTTTGTCCATTCTCCTTGATGTGAGTGAAAGATTCCAGGAGCAGGCTTTGGTGAGAAATGAGAGGGGGAGCTCCCAGGGCCCTGGACTGTGGACAGGAGCCTTGGACAGGAAGCAGCGAAATCGGGGCAAACTTCCACTTTCCGAGGCCAGCGCCTTCTGCCTGCACTAAGCCTTCTCAGCCCTGGGCTGCCTTGAGGATTGGCAGCAGCCCGCTGTCCTGCACCTTCACCATCAGCCCCTGAAGAGAAAAGAGGATGCTTTGGTCCTGATTTCAAACCTTGCTAACTGTCATTGGCCAGCACAGTACAAAGCCCTCTTTGTGAGCGAGGTTAGATCCACATCTCCTTACTGCTCTGGAAACCTGGGGACAGAGAACAATGCCCCCAGGTCAGTCCCAGGCCTGGCACTGCCCTCAGGTCCCGCAGGCAGTGGCCCAACTGGACCAGCAAAGGAGTCCCGAGTGAAGCAGCCTCGCGGTGGCTGAAAAACGAGGCTTGCAGTCCTGTAATCAACCGAATTGCCCTGTAGGGCCTCCTGACCGATTCTGGACTTCTTTGCGAGCAACTTCGAATTCCTGTGTCATATTTGGGTCAGAGCAACAGGAGGGACACGTGACTTGCTTTAAAATTAGCCTCCAAACTCATTGTGTAACAGCCCTGGTTTCCACTCAATGGACTGGTGCTTTGAGAGGCAGGCACGGCATTCGTAATGAAGTCTGTCCGGCGAGTTCTCCTGAAGAAAATCCTTGCGATTCACCAAGGCTCAATGTTTCCACCTGTAAAATGGGGTAGATTTTGTTTGAAAGAAAAGAAATAAAGGCTAGAAAAATAAAAGTAACCAATACATCCAGACCTGGTCCCCCATCCCACACAGAGTTTTTGGGCTTGTCAACAGATAAGAACAAGCCCTTCTAGATTAAGAAGGTACAGAATAGTCACAGCATGTAAAGTACAACACGGGGAATATTGTCAATAATATTGTAATAACTATGGTCGGTGCCAGGTGGGCACTAGACTTATGGGAGAGCACTTCTAAGTTATATAATGTCTAACCACTATACTATACACCTGCAACAATTATAATATTGAATGTCAACTGTAATTGGGGGGAAAATCTATATATAAAATTATAGGGGGGGAAATTATATATAAAAGGCTAATATGCAAAGTGTCCCCTCGGGAGTTCGACCAGGAGACTGGGAGTTCAATCACTCACTATGACATGCACTGACCACCAGGGGGTGGCCCAGAATGGGGGTGGCCCAGAATGAAGGAAGGCCCCGGTTGGCAGCCAGAAGGCCCGGATCAGCCCTGATCGCCAGCCAGGCCTAGGGACCCTACCTGTGCATGAATTTCGTGCACTGGGCCTCTAGTTATAAATAAAAAGCCAGGCGGCATGGCTCAGTGGTTGGAACCAGGAGGTTCCAGTCAGGGCACATGTCTGGGTTGCAAGCTTAATCCCCAGTGTGGGGCATGCAAGAGGCAGCTGATCAATGATTCTCTCTCATCATTGATGTTTCTATCTCTCCCTCTCCCTTCCTCTCTGAAATCAATAATATACA